TTCCAACACGTCTTTGCTCTTATCTACTAACACGAAATCATCAGCAAAGAGCATTGACCAAAGTGCCCCTCTCTTACTTTCTCTGTCAGAACATTCATAACAAGATTAAACAGGTACGGACTTAGTGAAGAGCGTTGATGTAAACCAACGGTCACTGAAAAACTTTTGGTCAATCTGACAGCAGTCCTCACTTTGGTGTACGCTTCCTCATACATATCCTTCACGAGCCTTAAATACTTCTCAGGAACCATTTCTTTCTCATACATCTCCATAGCTTTTGTCAAGGAACTGTATGGTATGTATGCGTTCTCAATATCTATAAATATCAAATGTACCTTCTCTATCAGCTGTCTCAAAGCAGACAAGGCATCGGTTGTTCTTTCTGGCGCAAACCCAAACTGTTCTTATCCTATCGATATTTATCTGTTGTATCCAATTTTTCGTACCTTGATCAAATTAAGCAGTTCTCTCTCAGTATTTGCCTTTCTTAGGACTTCCTCATTTTTCACCCTATCTGTCCATGGTATGCGGAACATTCTTCGCAACGTCCACATTTCGGAGGCCTTCAACTTATTAATGGAAGGTAGGTACTCTTAACGTTCATGTTTCCATGTCGTATAACAATATGGACCATACATAGCATTGAACCATCCTATAGCGAAGATTGAAGCAAAGATTGCGGTTACATAGTTGCGGTTTAAATTTGATAAAAGTTTGTCTAGCTTGTTCCGTACGGCATTTTATATCTTGGAGGATCCAATTGACCATTCAGCATCATTCCCAAGTATTTAAATGTTTTCACTTGATGGATTGGAGCATTATCTACTTGCAATTGTATTCTTAAAAGTGCGATTTTTCTTATTGCCATGCATTTAGTTTTTCCAGCATTTATCTTCGAGCCATATATTTTTCCTATAGTATTTATTTTATTTAACATCAACTGCATGTTATGTTCGTTGTCTATTTTTATCGCGGTGTCGTCGGCGTAACGAATGTTATGTATCGGGAACCCGTTTACCTTTATTCTACACTCAGACCGTTCCAGTGCCTCTGCAAAAATGTTCTGAAACATAGAGATTAAAGAGCATAGGAGACAAAATACACCCCTGTCGCACCTCTCTTAAAATTTCAAATTCTTCTGTGTTGGTTGATTTGTTCAGTCTCACTCGTGCTTTTTGATTCCAATAGAGATTCTGGATAACTCTTATATCATTCTCGTCAATGGTAGCGTTGTGTAGCATTTTTATCATTGCGTCATGTTTTACGGTGTCAAACGCTTTTTCATGATCAAGGAATGTTATGACTATATCCTTTCGTTGATACATGTAGCTTTGTACAAGTCTATTCAAGTAGAAAGCTGCTTCACGTGTACCCAGTCCGCTCTTGAAACCAATTTGTGTCTCACCACTTAGACCTTCCAGCTTTCTGAACATCCGGTCCAGGGGCCTTGCCTAGTTTTGCTACTTTTATATTATAGCGTACTCCACCTCGGTGCGAATAATGGGAGGCACGGATAAATTTTTCGTGGGTAAGTTAGTAGTTGGCAGATTTGGTCTATTATCCGCAAAGAGGGACGAAGCATAGTTTGCCCAGATTTCAGCTAGTTGTTCCTAGGTATGAATGTAGTTTCCTTGATCATTCTTTAGGCGAGTCTCATAATGTTTCGTGTATATACTCGAAATTTCTTTGACCTTTTTAAGTCCAAAGCTGTCTCCCTTTTCTTGTAGTGATTCCAATTCTTGCTCTTATCGTACGTTGGATTTCCTTGTATTCCTGGTGATTCTGTTGTATTTTGTACTGTCTGCGTTGTTTCATTATTGGTTTTGACCAATACAAACTAGTTAATTTTTTCAGGGTTTCTAGCACTTACCTTTTATAAATATATTAAAGAATTCTCAGATTGGTAACTAAACTTTTTTAGGCCAATATGGTGCATATTTTCAATACGTATATTATAAAAATTAATAAATAAATACTATTTTTAGATTTTGTACTGTTTTATAACCCTAATATACATACGTAATAAACTGTAAAATAATTTTAATGCAAAAGTTATATTTTACTGCTATAAAACCTGTCAAAATAATTTATTATGTGCATAACCCCGAAAATTACATAAATAGTTTAAACACTGTAATTATTTTTTAAAAATACTGCAAGCACTTTGTTATTAAAGTTGCTGTCGTTAAAATATGATATTAACCGCATTCCAAAATTTTTTGTAATAAATGCAAAGTGTTGGTTTAGCATACACAATAAGTAAAATGATGGTCTTATTTTTAAGTATAGTGTATTAAACATAAAAAAACTTAAATTAAATATAAAAAGATAAAGGGGATTTATACTATATTTCCTAGTTTTTATCAACTGCAGCCAAAATAAGAAAACTTAAGATAAAATGGCTAACGCAGATTTATATTAAATGCCTGCGAGTCATCATCATCATCGCCCAGCCCTTTGCGTCCACTGCTGGACATAGGCCTCCCTCATTTTTGTCCATTGTGCTCTGTCTTGAGCACTTTTCATCCAATTTCTTGACATGTTCTTGAGATCGTCAGTCCAATGTGTAGGGGGTCCTCCTCTACTTCTTTTGCCTAACCTCGGTCTTCACTCAAGCAATCTCTTCCACCACATTTCATCACTGATTCGGGCGACGGGTCCGGCCCAGTTCCATTTCAGTATGGCAATTCGGGAAATTTCATCGGTAACTCCTGTTCTTTGTCTTAAGTCTTCATTTCTAACTCGGTCACGAAGCGATATACTCAGCATTGATCTTTCCATTTTCCTCTGAGCTATTTGCAGGGTTTTAAAACTTGTAGCTGTCAATAGCTGGATTGGACGATAAAGATCTACAAATAATTACAAATCTATACTGGCATCAAATGGCAAGAATAAAGGTTGAACAAGAACTGTCGGATGAAATAAATATAAAAAGAGGAGTGAGACAAGGCTGTATATTATCGCCTTTACTTTTTAACTTATATTCGGAGGAAATATTTAAGGAAGCCTTAATGGAGACAACCGAAGGTATTATTGTGAATGGAGTAACCGTCAACAATATTAGATATGCCGACGATACCTTAGTCCTTGCCAATTGCGGAGAAGACCTTCAAAATCTAATGAACAAAATGAAACAGACTTGTGATCAGAATGGATTAAAACTCAACGTTAAGAAAACTAAGTATATAATAGGTAGCAAACAAAATTATATACAGGATGACGGTATAAAAGTCGGAGATGCCACACTGGACAGAGTAGAGAAACTCGTGTATCTCGGCAGTAATATCAATGAGAGCTGGGATAAAACCGCAGAAATTAAAAGCCGAATAGAACAAGCCTGAGCTGCCTTTGTAAAAATGAGAAACGTACTTTGCAGTCACGATCTTAGCATTGACCTTAGAGTTCGTATGACATCTTGCTACATTTTTCCTGTCCTGCTGTATGGAGTGGAAGCGTGGACTCTAACTAAGGCTATGCTTAAAAGCTTGACAGCCTTTGAGATGTGGGTATACAGACGACTACTGAAAATAAGCTGGGTCGACAGAGTTAGAAATGAGGAGGTCACGTTGAGCCAAACAACACAACTGGTCAATATAATAAAGAAACGCAAGCTGGAATACTTCGGTCACATTATGAGACACCCTGAAAAATATGATCTTTTACATCTGATCATTCAGGGAAAGATGCAAGGTAATCGTGGTCCTGGTAGACTAAGAACATCATGGCTGAAAAATCTAAGGCAATGGTATGGAAAATCAACTACATCGTTATTTAGAGCTGCTGTCAATAAAGTCACGATAGCGAATATGGTAGCCAACATGATATCCAACGATCGATAACGGTCATGGAACTAGAAGAAGAAGCTGTCAATGTCAAAGTTTCGACACCATAGCTCATCACAGGCAAGACACATTGGTCAAATGTTTTACGTTTTAAAGAAATTGGTATGTCGCTTATATAGTGTCTTTGAGTTTTCCATAGGCTGCCCATGCTAGGTTTATTGTTCTTCGTAATTCGCATGTATGGTTGTCCCTTGTGATTTTTATTTCGTGTCCAAGATATATGTATTTTTCCACCAGCTCTACTTCGTTGTCTTCAATATTGATATTTCTGCCAGGTAATAGGTTTGTCTTAAATTTTGTTTTGGGGATGTTTATTTTAGAACCCACAGTGGCACACACTAATTGTAGTTCATGTAGCATTGTACATATCTCCATGAGGTTGTCCGAGAACAAAACTATGTCGTCTGCGATATTTGTTAATCTTCTACCGTCAATGTTCAGGTCATTCTCTTCTCAGTTAAGTTTCTTACAAGCATATTCTAGTACTGCGGTAAACAGTTCAGGCGATAAGGTATCACCCTGTCGGACTAATCGGCCGATTGGCATGTGATCCGTGTGTTTATGTAGTTTCATGTGATCCGTGTTTTCATGTAATTTCATACCGACATAGTTTTGTTCTTGTATGTATTTTAAATTAACCTTGTATATCGGTAGTCAATGCGGCATGCTTGTAGTGCTTCCAGGATTTTGTCAAATTCTGCCGTGTCAAAGGCTTTATGGAAATCTACAAAAGCCAGAACGAGTGGTCGATTGTATTCGATAGTCTTTTCTAAAGAAGAAGAATCTTATACTACTATTCCTTCGTTGTTAACGTATCAGTCACCTTGTTTTATAGTTCCATTTTCAGTATCTTTAATATCTAAACTTTGAACTACAGCTACTACAAATTATTCAAATCGCAAGATGTTAAAACGATGTCTTCAATGATAGCAGGTTTTGTATTTATTGGTGTATAGATTCGAAATCTTGCAGGAAATAGTCGAAAAATGTATTTTCTATTATTCTCCTTGCACGATGAAATCTTGCCGATTTTCTCTACAAGTATTATTTAACTCTTTACTTTTCCGTAAATCCCGTTTTTATGATTAATAAATTATTGTTTTCAATATTTTTAAAAAATTGTCTAATATAAATAATAATAACATGTATTTTTTTCAGTATTAGTACAAAAACGTCTTCGAAGGGAAAAGAAAACAAGAAGACGACTGCAAGAAAAACTAGACTTAGAAAACAAAAGACGAGGACAACTTGAAGAAGCTCTTAGAACTGCAGGAGCACCTGAACAAATTAATTTAATTAATGGTAAGTAAATAAAATATAAATAGTTATTTTATTTTATGTATCCTATTTTATGGTTAGAGGATTTTCAGTTGCTTTAAAAAATTTTTTTTTTGCTATAAGAGTAAAGTACAATTGCAATGGGGGGTTTAGTGTATCAGGCTTTCTTAGTTAGTCCTCCTAGTAGAAAACTGATCCATGCTTGAGAAATACGGTGGAAGTTGCTACTGGAGATGATCGAGAAAATTTACTCCAAGACGTTCTTGTACCTATTGATAATTTGTTTACGTAATTGAAAATAAGATCAAAAGGGTCCAGAAAGTATATTAATCCATTAAAGACCTGAAACAGCCCTACAATAATATACCTAAAACTAACTTAGCTGGTGCTTGTTTATAAAACTCAAAATGATCTACACATTTTTTTATGGGAAACATATCAGTTTTCCCAACTGCAAGTACTGACGAATCTGATATGTTAAAATTTGTTTTTAAAACTGCAGATGATTAAATGTGCTTCAGGCTTTATTTTGTTAAAAAACTCTTACAGTTTGCACTCAGAGAAGCTATAATTATCAAACACAATAAAAATTTTATTTAAAATACACAACAAGTTGCTGTTTAAAATTAGCTTTTCAAATGTCTTGAAAAATGCTTAACACCTGTTTAAAAGTAAATAGATCTAAAAATGAATGCAACTGCTAATTTCCTACTAATACTGCTATTTTCGAGTTAATAATTTAAATAGTTTTAAGGCGAACAACTTCTGCATTACTTGACGAATATTACTTATTAAGTGAGTGCCATAAGTGTATGGTATTTGTTACCTATCCTTCTTCTTCTTCTTCTGGTAGCACTACAACCCGGGGTGGGTCTTGGCTGACTGCACAACCTGCTTCCATCTCGAACGGTCGTCCATGATGTTTAAGTCAGTGGGTAGCCCCATTGTTCTCAAATCTGACCATATATTATCTCTCCATCACATTTGTGGACGTCCTAAGGGCCTTCTCCCTATCGGGACTTCTTCCCAGATTAACTTAGGGGAAGGCGGTTATTAGGGAGCCTATAAACATGGCCAGCCCATCTTAGACGTTGGGATTTAATCTCTTGGACTACGTCGCTAGCACTATACATTTGTTTGACCTCGGCATTTGTTCTCATTCGGTATTGGTTAGTATTCGGATCGTGATAGGGACCGAAGATCTTTCTGAGGATTTTTCTCTCAAAGCATCTGAGTTTACGTTCCATTGCTTTTGTCAGCGTCTACGTCTCACACCCATACATGAGCACCGGTCTAATTACTGTTTTATATATCCTGATTTTTGATGTTCGTGTTAGTCTCTTGGATTTAATAGTGTTGGGGAGGCTATACATACATCTGTTGGCTGCCTGAATTCTCCCTTTTATCTCTTTCGTGATATCGTTATCTGTGGTGATAGTCGCTCCGAGATATTTAAAACTCTCCACTCTTTCAAAGTTATAGGGGTCTATTGTTACATTTTGTCCTATTCTATCTCGTCTCTTTTGTCTGTTAATGCACATATATTTGGTTTTCTCTTCATTGACCCTTAGACCGGTATTTTTTGCCTCTCTTTCTAATTTATTGAAGGTTTATTTTACATTGGTGACGGTATTTCCTACAATGTCAATGTCATCCGCGTATGCTAGTAGTAATTTTGGTCCATTTACTGTCAGTAGTTCTGTTCTAATTTGTGCGGTTCTTACTACTCTTTCCAGGATTATATTAAAAAGAAGAGGTGACAGCGCGTCTCCTTGTTTCAGTCCACTGTTTATTTCAAACGACTCTGAGAGCTTGTTACCTATCCGCACTCTAGATCTACAGCCATTTACACAAACTTTAACGAGCTGGATAAGTTTTTTTGGAACTGAAAGTTCTGCCATTGCATTCCACATCTGATCCCTTTTAATGCTGTCGTATGCTTGTCGGAAATCTATGAAGAGATTATGAATGGTTCTTTTGAATTCCCATCCTTTTTCAAGCAGCTGCTTGAGAGTAAAAATCTGATCTATGGTCGATCTATTTTTTCTGAATCCGGCTTGGTATTCCCCTATGAAATTTTCTACAAAAAGTGTTAGTCTACTTAATAGGATGTTCGATAAGATTTTGTACGCCGTATCAAGTAGGGAGATGCCTCTATAGTTAGAGCACTTGGTTTTGTCTCCCTTTTTATGGATAGGAATTATTACACTTTTGTGCCATTTTGTTGGTCTTTTCTCTTCGTTCCATATAAGTGTTATTAGTTTGTGTAATTGTCTATGTAAAGTTTCTCCTCCATACTTAAGAAATTCGGCTGGTATATTGTCAGAGCCTGGAGCTTTTGCGTTCTTCAATTTGTTAATTGCTTGCAATGTTTCGTCTATTTTTGGATACTCTAGGTCCACCCCAAGGTATATATCCTCTCCATGTTCTTTATCTTGGTGTATATTAAGTAAATTTTTGAAATATTCTTGCCATGTCTGGAGTAATTCTTGTTCGTTGATTATTAATTCATCATTATTTTTCCTCAGTACAGACACGCAGTTAGGTCTGAATCCTCTCTTTTCGTTTGACACAGATTTGTAAAATGCTCGACTATTTGACTGTTGTCTATTTCTTTCCATTTCTTTATACTGCTGTTGTTTGTATTTTCTTTTTTTCTCTCTAATTAGTTTTCTTGTTTCTCGTCGTGATGTTGTATAGTTTTCTTTACTTTCTGTTGTTTCTTGTTGAAGCATAATGTTTCGCTTTTTCTGTCTGTCTTGTAGTTTTTTCTTGGCATTCTTTATCAAACCATTTCCTTGTTTTCGTCCTTCTTTTTCCTATTATTAGTTCTGCCTGCCTAACCCTGCCTAACTATTAGTTACCTATCCTCTTCTATTTATTATCATTATCCAGCCTTTATTTATTTTGTCCACTGCTGAATATAGGCCTCCCTTAAACTCCTCATTTCTTTACAATTTTGTGCCCTTTGTTGCCAATTTTTGGTGGTTCGCCTGATGTCGTCAGCCCAACGTGTAGATGGTCTTTCTCTACTACGTTTGTCTACCTTCAGCCTCCAATTTGTAATTTTGCTCCATCGTGACTCGTATATTCTCGCTACATGGTCTACCTAGTTCCATTTCAGTTCCGCAATGCGTTTCACAACATCAGCAATACTCGTCTTTCTTCGCAGATCTTCGTTTCTTATTCGGATCCGCAACGTCACTCCCAACATAGACTGTTCCATTCGTCTCTATGCCACTCTTAATTTTAAAGCCGTTGTCTTGGTTAGAGTCATAGTTTCCGCCTTATAAGTCACGACCAGTACGCATTGGTGAAATACTTTTCTTTTGAGGCTATTTGGTTAGTTGGCCCTAAGGTGTCTTTGGATTCGCTTGTCTGGTTATCCCCGCTGATTCTTATTTCATGACCCAAATACGTATATTTCCCCACCAGTTCTACCGCTTTGTCTTGAATAGTTAAATGGTTATTGGAGACCATATTTGTCATAAACTTAGTTTTGTTTAAGTTCATTTTGAGACCCACCTTCGAATATGCAAAGTTCAATTCATTTAACATATCTGTAGCTTCTTGTAAATTATCTGTGATAAGGCATATGACATCTGCGAAACGTACATTAAGCTTTTCACCGTGTATTGTTACTCCTCTGTGTCCTAATTGATCATGTTAAAGACATATTTTAATACCGTTATGAATAATCTCTATGAAAGTAAGGACAGGAGGTTTGTTGTATTCTATAGATTTTTTCTAATTAGAGTGTGTTTACTGTCGAAGGGAACGACAGAACTTCGACAGAAAATGCTGGAAATTAAGATGCGAGATGCGGCGCCAGCTGTAGAAGACTCGCTTGTTATATATATAGTGTGTTTACTGTATGGAGGTGATCATTGGCACCATAATTTGAACGGAATTCTGCCTGCTCTCTCGGTTGGTAGAAATCTAATTTTTTCTCCAATATTAATGTCACTTACATTGTGAAGAGCTTGTATATGTGGTTCAACAGGCTAATAGGTCTATAATTTTCTAGTTCCATTCTACATCCTTTTTCATGCAAAAGGATGGTTATAGCATTGTTCCATTTTTTGGACACCTCTCTTTGCTGCAAATATAGATTAAACAGTTTTCTTAATTTATTTAATATTTAATATCTCCTCCATTTACGATAGCTTCTATTACAACTCCATCATCCTCTGGGGCTTTGTTATTTTTCATTTTTCGTAATGTTTGCCGAATCTCATCTACCTTTATCTCTGGCATTAGTTGATTCATGATCTTCTTTGAAATGGCTGTTTATATTCCTGTTTGATCTAATCATCTACTGCCATATAATTCCTCGTAAAACTCTGCGACGATCTGTATTAACTCATATATACGTGATATTACTTCATTTTGCTTGTTTCTTAATTTATCAATTTCGCATTTCCCATTCGTTAGCTTTCTGCGTAAAATTTGTATGCTGTTATTTTCCTCTATGGTGCGTTTAATATTATCGGTTTTAAATTTCCATAAATCTCTCCTGATTGCCCTCGAATCAGTTTAATTGGTTGAGATCTAATGGGCTATATTCCATTTATACGCTTATTTAATTATTGAAACAGTTGATTAGTTCCTATCATTTGTATTTGACTTCGATGTTAAGTATTGTGTATTGTAACAATCTGTCTAGATATAGTCAGTGTAGATATAATTAGTGTGAGGTTATTTAATTTTTTGTGTGGTAAAGGTTTGCAACCACAGCAAATTCGTACACGATTGCATGCAGTGTATGAAACATTAGGTTTAAGTGTATACCAATTAAGGAATGGTGTCGAAAATTTAAGAGTGAAAGAAAGAAGACGAATGATAAGTCGCGACCAGGTGCATTAAGCAGTGCATATGGGATAGAAATATGGCATGTGTCGAAGGCTTTGTTAAAGAAGATCGTAGAACTTGAATCCGAGCACTTTGAGAAAATGTTGGTATGAGTATGGGATCTGACAATACTGTCGAACACAACCTGCGTAATGGCTTGCTCGCCTTTTATC